CAACTTCATTGATTGTAGGAAGTGAAATTGTTTTTCCGGTAGAAGTAGACATATTCACGTATTTAGTTTTTGGATAGGACGAAAAAATTTTTTTAGTAAGAAATAGTCGTACATTCACCCATTTTATAGTTTTTACAAACAATCAGTTGTCGTACAACAGGTCACGCGTGCATTTTTTAATCGTAATCTCTGATCATACATGTGATTTTGAATACAGTAATAATATCATTGTTCCCGTCATAACAATACGAAGTCGACCCTGCATTTTGAAATTTCGATGATTATACTGCAAAAAATTTTATAATGTCATTTACTTAATGTGATACAGTATTGACTCGAATTTTTCTAAGACTATTATTTTGACACTTACGGCCTGCTTTCGGATACCACACCCGTGATCGCTTTTTTAAAAAACAACAATTTTATTAATACATTAAACATGCTTCGGAGAGAATATATTGGGTCAATGTAAATGAATGCAATATCAATAGCTACAATAGCTACAATGCATGGAACAGCCAAAATTTTCAAGCAAAATACATAAATCACGATTATGTACACTGGTGATCATAAATAATGCAACAAAAAAAAAAATTTAGTCGGATCATATTATTTCACACAATTCCAGGCATATTTCTTAAATTTTTATTTTATTTTATTTGCAAATAGCAATATTATCATTAATAAAAAGGATTTAAAAACTTAATGATTAAAATTTTTTGGGGACACAAGTTTTATTTCAATATATGTGTTGCATTATTTTTGCTCGTTTTAATAGCAACACAATTGTAAAACTAAAAAATTTTTTTTTACATAAAAAAAAAAAAATTTTTTTTTTCTAATAATTTTCAGCTATCATCATCTGGTGTAGCTGCCCCAGGCTCTAATTACATCATGGATTCATTCTGGCATTGAACGAATTAACCTCATACAGGTTTTAACATCGATTGCCTGTCACACCATCTAAATTTTTTCCCAGAGATCTTTTTCACTTGAAATTTAATCAGGAAGGTCTCTAAGTCGATGATCAACTTCATCCTACAAGTGTTTGATTGGGTTTAGATCAACTGATTGGGAAGGCCAGTCAAAAAACTTTATCTTCTTTCTTGTAAGTCAACATTTGGTCAAGATTGTCATATGACAAGATGTTCCATCTTGTTAAAAAACAACTTCACTGATTTCAAATCCATGAACCTCAATCATTCACATCAAATCTTCACAGAGTATCTTTAGGTACAGATCCATATCCAATGTACCATCAACCTTACAATAGCTGCTGATACTGTGAGAGGTAAAACAACCCCAAATCATAATTGATCTACTGCCATATTTCATAGTAGGCTTTATATAGAACTGATTTAATGGTTCTCTATGATGCTTCCAATAGTATTGCTTATCATCCAACCCAAAAATTTGAAATCTTAACTTATCTGACCAAATTGGCTTGAACAAATCTTCGACAGTCCATTTTTTATATTTTTTTGCAAAAACGAACTGCATTTTTCGATGACTATCACTTAGGTAGGAGTTTTTTTTTTTATTCCTGACACTAAACTATGGTTTTGAAGTATCTGCTGAATAGTAGACATCAAAATTTCAATATTTTCATTTATTTTGAGGTGAGTCCTCACTTTAACAGTAGTAGAGCAGTGATAGGAGGTAATTAAATTTATTATTCTTCTTTGGGTTGGTTCATCCAATAAAGTTGGATGATCAACCCTTTCTAAATTTTCAAGTGTGTAGTTTGTTAATCACTTTTTTCTAATTCATAAGACTGTAGAAAAGTTAACATGATGGGCCTGATCTACTGCTCTTGTGGTGTACCCATTTTGAAGGGAAAGCAATATTTGGGCTCATTTGGCAGAAGTTGTATAGTTTTTTTTCTGATTTGTAAGCAATTCTAACATTATACAAGATGCAGAATCAACAATAAAACTTCTATTTTTATATATTTTATGTGGTACAAATCACATAATCTGATCTTTGTCAAAAATGATCAAAAATAATACAACAAATGATTTATAATAAATTCACAATTATCTTTACATTGGTAATAATAATGATTATTAAAATTTTGTTATCTAAAAAAGATAGTATTTGTAAATAAAATAAAAAAAAAATTTAACAAATATGTCTGGAATTGAGTGAGATAATATGATCTGACTAAATTTTTTTTATGTTATATTATTTATGATCACCAATGTATATTATTGCTGAATACTTTTATTAGAAAGATTTTTACATATAGATATATGTATTAATTAACTGAATCAGAATACTGAAATAAATACATTAGATCAATGTTTAACTAATAGATGTGCATGAAGTTAAAAATATTTGATATCGATATGTGGCAGAAATTAATTGACTGATTTTGGTTAGGTACTGCAATTTCAGCTAGGGTGTCTCAGTTAAAAAATGAAAAATGGCACTTTCTACTTGTGCCCTGTCTCACAAATAAGTTATGCATAATAAAGGTAATACAGATAAATTTTATATGTGGAATTTTATGCTAATGAACGTGAACAAATTGTAATAATAATAAGTTTTGCTTAATTAAATTAGGTATCATTATCACTAACTCAGATTTTAACGTTAATTATTCGAGAATTATTACATTCACATCGCTTATAAATTTCCTCTGCTACTTTTTTGCACATTTTACAATATAGGTGTAAATGGTGATTGCAGTCATTACAAACCTTACATCCATGTTTTCGTCCTTTAAAGATATGCCACTTTTTAATATAATTTTGATTTTTTTTATTTGTTAATATGTTACTCTTATCTTTCATTGTTATATATTAGCTGAAAAAAATATATACATATTCTAAATTTTTTATCATTCAAACTTGCAATTAGTTGATACTCAATATTGCTACTGTTATATAATATTAATAATGTAGTACATATATAAGTAAAATTCATTTTCCTGTTGATCTTCTAATAATGCAAATAATTTTTTGTTACTTCAACAGATTAACTGCCTATACTGGATATATTGTAAAAGTCAAAATGAACTACAGTAAATAAATTAATTCTTAGCAAATGAATATATTTAAAAATTAAATTATAGATAAAAGCTTTATTAATTTTGTAGATATATATGAAAATGGCCTAGGCAAGCTAAGTAGAAAATAAATATTAGAGTAGCAGACGTTTAAAGAAAGGAATTTCTTGAACCCTAACCTATAAAATAAGAGTTCCTTTCTGCTACTCTGAATTATTAGCTAAGTTAAAATTATTTTTACTATCTATCCAAGCACCTATTTTATTTAAAGTACTGCCTTTAAAATTATCATTATTATAATGAAAGTTTTTTATAGTTTCTTTACTAATCTTTTCTATCCCAAGACTACAAATCTTAACAGATACCATATTACACATATCATCTAAAGAATAATTATTGTCTGTCATAATCTTATCAAAAAGAATTTTAAAGTGATTTCTGGTTGTTGAAATAATATCAGAAAAAGATAATTGGCTTGAGCTACTAGAAGAACCCAGAGAAGAACTAGAAGATCTTCAGGAAGAATTAGATGTAGGTACAGATGGAAATTGTTCAGATATTAATGGTGCTACAGAACCTGTCACAGTTATTTGGTCCAACTGGTTATGAAGAAATTTATAATTGGTGGTGATTTTATTAACAGTTTCAATTACAGTATTTACTATTATCAGAATTTTTTGTCTCTCAACAACAAATGTGGCATCTCTTGTTGTAAGATTTGCAGTTAATCTTTCCACATGTGCATTAAATTCCATGGTAAGTTGTTGTTTGACGATATACATGATGAAGCACATGGCAATGGAAATTAGATAAACAGGAATTTTCTCAGTGAACATCAATATGCACACAAAGGCCAAAAATGTGCCAACTTCTAAAACATTAACCAAAGATATATTTATAATGAGAAAAAAGATTATTAGTATAGATACACAAGCATGGATAATAACCTAGCAAATATGCAACTCAAAATAAACCTTAATTCGTGTGAAACAGGTGAAATTAGTGGAGTTTATTTTGTTGCTCTTAGTGAGATTACTATGCTGAAAAATATTATTATTTTAGGTATGAGATGTGAAAGCTTATTAAATAGTTTATTTTTACAGATATTACTAATAAGAGCATAGAAGGAATGACTAAAGATTTTTGGATCCTTTTTATACAAGATTTCACAACTTAGAATCTGATTTGTTGCCTCTGTTAGTAAAGGTCAGAACATACTAGAAAAAATATTAATTACGTTATTATTGCATTATTATTGATTTATCATCAAAAACATAGGTAAATTCCAATTTTGAGAATGAAGACCTGAATCTAGAGACTTAACAATACATGATCTGGGTAATGCTGAGTAAGATAAGTAACATTTATTAAAACTAGTATGTCTGATGAATATTTACAATTACAACAATAACAATTACATACAATTAATAACTGACTTCTAAAATAATATTAGGGCAATATATGATCTTATTTAGAATTTGATTTTCATAATGCTACTCAATTTTTGGTTAGACATCAGATATAATTTTACCACTCCAAGTATGTATAATTGATCATTGACAAATTTATCCTATTTTATTAGTAGAAGTAGCAAAACTAACATATCATTTCTTATAATATAAAAACTTTTATAGCAACTTTGATATATAGGCCAAGTATTGCTAAGCAAGCTATTAGGTAATTCTTTGAATCATGATCTAAAGAGTCTACTACGTATATGCTACTGAGAATATGTTAGAAAGTTTGAGCAAAAACATGATAAATTCAGGTATTATTTTATAGTGATTGATCGATTTATCTAAGACATACATAATATCACTACTATATATAATTTAACAGATTGTGACCCAGACTAAGTTTTGCTTATGTTGGATTTACACATGACATCATCCCCAAGGCCTATTATAATGTAATATGATTTAATTTTGTGATCACAATCTGGACTAACCGATTTTTACATAATACATTTTTATTATCTGTAATCAAAGCATGTGTTTGAATGCAAAGTTAATCAAATAGCCAACTGAAAAAATATATATAGCAGATGAGTAAATCAGCTTTCTTCTTCCTACATTAGATATTTTATATATTCAAATGTATCTTCTCTAAAATTATATGAATCTAGAAGGTTTCCATAATTATAGTCTTCAATATTTGACAATATTGCATTTCTGATTCTTTTACTAAAGATCATATTAATATTTAATAAATACTTTTTTACTTTTACGAGCTTATCAAATATTGTCAATGCATTATTATATATGGGCTCAATTTCATTATCATTTATATATGATCCTCTATAGCATCTGTCTAATTTTTTTAATAAATTATAGTATTTTATATTAAAGTATTTTTGCATTTATAAAGTTTATGCCAAATTTCTTTATACCATATGTGATTAATATAAATACAGTCATTTAGATCTTCTGTTGGCATTTTTTAGATGATTTTAGCAATGGTTTCTGAAAGTGTAAATGGGTTGAATATATGCATATTATATTATATATATCAAACATATGGGTTTTATTAACTAAGACTTTTTATTCTTTTAGAATTTTGCATAATATCTTGATTTTATATCAAGTTCTTCAACTTGAAGTATTCTGCAAATGTTTATTTTATTTTAAAAAAAAATATATTAATTATGTATACATCTGAATTACTGCCATGATCTAGACTCTATGATTTCAGTTACAAAGAAGACAAGTAAGGCATACATTCCCTTTAATATGCCCAAACTATTGTGAATCTGATCTACAGTCTACTGAAGTATATCTCCTGGCTGATCCCATTTAAATTTTATTTCGATAAGACATAATGCACATTTGTTTTCTTGAATACATTTTAATGTAAGAATATAGTCAACTGTTAGATCAAATTTACGACTTTTTTCTTTGTCCTAGCCTATATATCCGATAAGTTTTTTTTGAATAGACAGTCTCAATTTGTGCTTTAGCTGTTTTTTCTTTTTTGCCTTCTCAATTTCTTGGACAATTTTAGAAGGTAATGAAGGCGCTTCAACCTGAATGAGTTGGTTTAAATATTTCACATGACCAACTGCCAAATATATTAGATTATTCCAGGCTAAGTTTTCATCAATAATCCAAACATGCTGTGGTGACTTAAAAGTCATCCCCTGACTAGTATGAATAGTCATAGCATATCCAAGTTCCCAATTTATAACTTTTTTATCTGCCAATATATCTTTTAAGAATTTGGCAAGAAGTGTATTTAAGAATAAGTATACTATGTTATTTTTTACTAACTTCTTCTTTTCAGATGGGCCAGGGATCTGAACAAGGCAGTTTTGTTTGTATCTATTTCTTGGCCTATAAATTAATAGAATTGAAATTTCAGAATATTTTATTTGATGAAGTTCTAAACATTTTGGAAAGCAATTTTCTGGGAAAGTATATATGCTAATAATATGTGATCTAAAGAAGTCCATTCCTTTTCAAGATGTTCCAATTTTTCTATAGTTGGGAGAATTCCTCAAAATAATTTTGTTTGTATTCGATTATTTTGGTGACACATAGCTTTTTTGAATTCACGTAATTTAGAATATTTTGCATAATAATTAGTTAAAACTTCTTCATAATAATCAACATGCTCTTTTAACCAATTATGTGGCATTTTCCCAAAGAATAGTGGAGGTTGTGCATCATTATCATAACAAATTACCTGACATTTATGTTTTAACAAATAATTAATGAAAATTTCAAGAATATGCTTAGGAACTGTATATACCTTATTCTAAATAACAACTTGTGGAAATTTCTTCTCTTCCATGCATTCAGATGTCCACTCTTCTACTTCATTCCATCTAAAAAAGCTATGCCAGGTTTGAGCTTTTACATTATGTTTTTCTTGAAAATCTTTAGCTAATGCATTTGTATAAGTGAAAATAATCATATTTATGTCTTTAAAAATTCTAATTGCTCATATTGTTTTACCAGATCCTTCTCCTCTATTAAGATATAATTTTTAATATCTTGTAATAAGATCATGAATTGATGGAGCTGTATTATCTGAAATATCTTTGATCAATTCCCAATGCCTATTCTTTGGTCAGTATACAATATCAGCAACTGGTATATATATTTTTTCACCTTTATCATGCCATTAACCAAGTTGAATTTCTTGAACCTCTTGTTCTTCTTGCTGATTTAACTGCTTCTGACAAGAATCCAATTTATAAAACCATTTCCCAAAGCAAAATCTGCAAACAAATGGAGTATGCCTTTTACATTCATATTTTACTAGAAGTCTTTTTGTTTTTAGAAACTCTTTAATCTATTTTGCATATTCTGATTTTGAAATAAGAAATTCTTCTGGATCGCTACACATTGCATAAGAAGGATAGTGTGAACATAAATTTGGATCCGACTTTACCTCAACTTGGTTGAAGAATGCTGGTATATTTTTGATCTTATATAATGTCTCTTTTTGTACATATATAGAATTTGTAGCAATTCTTATTACTTCATTAGAATCGAATTTCCGAAGCATCTTTAACAAATTAATATGTGCATATGCTAATATTGAAGCCTGCAAATGTGTGTACTGAGGCTGATGACCCTCAAAATATGTAAGTATAAATTCAAGTAGATATCTTTCTCTTTCAGCAAAAGTTCCAGCATCTGTACAATCTTTTATTAAAAAATCAAGTTCACCTTTATCTATTACAAGATGATGAGTAAGTCATTTTTCTTCATTTTTTCTGCCCTGTGTAAACTTACCTATAATTGCACAACTAATATTTCAATTTTTTGGTAACCATACTTTAGTCTGCTGTATAAGGGAGATAATTGCCTTCCCAATAGTTAAGTCTTCTAGAATACCAGTTTCAAGAAGATATTGTAACAATACTATTAGAGCCCATCCTTTATTTTTTATACATCCTTCTCTACTACAACATGCAAAATGTTTTCTATATCAAACTGGGATTACTAGATGTATGTTAGAAGTGAACTTAAAGGAATTTATCTGTGCAAATCCAGTAATATCATCTTGGAGCAATTTTCCATTTACTGCAACTTGGACAAGATGATATGTTGGATGCCCAAATCGATTAAACCATAGTGCACATTCTCCTTGGCCTTGCATACTTGCTGGATAGCATTCTTTCATATTAATACATATGATATTATTAATATGATAATTGGATGCATTCCAGTGTCCACCATGCCCATGTTCAACACAGGCTTGTTTTATATCATCATTTATTTTTTCAGATATTGGATACTACTCATTAATCTCATTGGCCAATTGACTTTCAGTGTGATTTGCACCAAATACCTGTTCTGCTAAATCAACTACTTTAAGAGACTCTAAAAGAATCAATCTTTTTTCTTCATTAATTATGTTCTCTTAATATTACCAGTTTATTGCATTATTAACTAATTGTTTGCATGCTTTTATAATTTCTATATGTTTTTTTCATGTTCTAAATGTGCAACCATCTTCTAGAACAAATTGAGATATTTTATGGGTTTTATCTCCTACTCTTATAAGCCAGATTGCTTAAGGACCTTGAAGGGTATTATTGATAGCTTCCCAAGTATCACCTTTATAATATTCAACTATTCGATCTCTTAAAAAATGCTGGTTTCTTGGAAATGCTTGGCCATTATGAACTACCATCTCTATTTCTTTATACTTACCTGATCAGTATTTTTTGCTATTAAAGATAGTACTATAAGTAATATCAAGTAATGTAATTAGTCACTTGAGAATTTTTTCTAACTCTGCTACATCACATACTCAAGCACTTGAAATACACATTTTTTTCTCCCAATTATTTATTTTTTGTTAACAAATTTTTGTGAGTTCATGTTCTCTTTTGGCTTGATCAAAATGCTCTATTACTCATTTAGCTATACAGTTAAGTGTACCATCCTTTATAGGCATTAATCGATTAACATCTGGCTTTTAGATTTGATATAATCCATAAACTACTGTATTGCTATCAAGTCTTTCTACTTCAGATTGCTTACTGACTTCTTTGACCAGAAATTTTTTATCTATTTTTATCCAAAATCCTGGTTTCGTTTTCTTTATAAGTATAAAATTGGGGCCACCCTTGATGAATTTTCTATCTGTCTTTTTTGATTCACAAATAGGCTCATATTTATCAATAATTTTAAAAGTGATCTTTGTTTGAGATTCATCTCCATATACAGAATCATTTCTAATAAATTTTACTTTTATTAAGAACTCACCATTGTCAATTGCATTTAAAATTTCTTGTGCTTGCTCTTCAGTCATCCTAGCTTCATATTTTTTGGATTCTATTTCTGCAAACCAGGTTGAGAAAGCATATTCAGTACCATCTACTTTAAACATGTCTTTTGCTATCTAAATACCCTTTTGCTATACTTTCTGATGCCATTCTTTATCTGGAAACAAAACTGGCTAAGGTACTTTTTTATTTAAATCTTTTGGATCTTTTTTAGACTCATCTCTTTGGTCAATGATTTTAGGAGTTAGGGTTTTCTTCCCCTGGTCTTTTCTTTGCCTTTTTCTGTATACTTGAGTAATCAGGCCAAATCTGTTTCAGAATTTTCTTCTATTGGTTGGGATACTTTGGTTTTCTTTTGCCATTTACTAGAAGACTCTTTCATTAAATCAAACCATTCTATATCTGTTTTTGGGACCTTTTTATTAATAATGGTTGGGTTATTTTTTATCTTAGGATTTGCAAGCCAGTTAGCCAAATCCTCTATAAATAAATACATTGTTTGGCCTCTTTTGGATCCTTCCTTTTCACAAACATAGACTATAAGAGATGGAGGATTAGATGCTGACGATTGAGGTCTGGATATATTAGGGTTAGATGAATGAACCAGGTTGGGTATTTGGGTTTGCTTGCACTTAAATTTTTTGTTAAGATAATTTGTTAAATTATGAGTCTTTTTAAAGTCATTCTTTCTACATCAAGGACATTGGAGTACTATTTTTGATAGTAAGTGAATCAATTCAGTTTTTTGTATTAATAGTATAAAAACTTTTGTTCAAATAATAATTAATTATCCTCTTTCGATCTTTCAATTAGTAGAAGATAGCCTGAAAAAATTTATATCTATCCTGAAAAATTTATACCTATTCTATTTTTTTATATCAGGATTACAATCAAAAAGACATTCAAAAGCAAGAAAACAAATTAGCTAACTTAAGGTTAACAAGCTTTGGAAAGATAAGAAGACAAATTAGCAAACTTAAAGTTAACAAAAGTTTAGATAGGTAAGAAAACAAATTAACAATTTCAATGAGAAGAAGGCATTAGAATTCAATCCTCGTATATAAAAATTTACACTATGATTATAGAGCTTCTAATCTAATTCTAAAGCCAAGTAGAGTAGCAAAAAATAATATATTTTTTTATATATAATAGTGAACTCTATAAGGCTCATAAGGAAGATCCAGTAGTATTTTTTTTATACATATAAGTCTGCTCGTGCTCTCTGCTGCTTTATTGATGTAGCATATGAAGAACCAGGTCATTTCTTACACTTCTGTCACTTTTTGCTCTAGATAATCATAAATTGTCTTTTTTCTATTATTTTTATCACTTTCATCATTTCTGTTACTTTTATTATTTATTGCATTTATCTAAAAATATATTTAAGAGAAATGAATTCATCTAAAATAAAAAAATAGAACCTTTGGTTTTATATAATAAAAACAATAAAACTATAATTACTTCTAAATATCTTGTGATTCATATAACACATGACTGAATCATTAAAGTCTTAACTCTTACTTATTCAAAGTTATAAAAAGATAAAATAGAATCTCTATTGTCATTTTCTAGTGTAAAAAGAATTTTATGTATATAAAACAGAGCCCATAATATAGTAATAATTGTAATATATACCTCATGTATTTAATTAAAGTCAGATGACACACTTAAAGGACAAATCATCAGAAAAAAATTCTATCAAGGTTTGATAAAGTAAAAGAGAAAGAAAAGTTCATCTTACTTGATGTACTAAGGTAAAAGTAACTATACCTTTCACCTATATCAAAGACTCAGTTGTAATAATCTGATGCTGAAGAATATCTTTAACTATGTGTCTAGACTATAAAATAAAACAGTACACAAGAATTAAATAGTAATTAATTATTTATTTATTCAAATTACCCTATCATGCCTTTGGTGATATATGCTTAAAATTATCTAATAATTAATTATAACTATAAACACACATAACACTACCAATTTTAATGTAACCAATCTTACTTGTTAATAATTTCCTAATTGCAATCGATCATTAGTAAACACATGACAACCTTACTTAAAACAAAGCTAAGTATTTTCTTATACCTTTTTTTTTTTAATATTTTATATATCTATTATTCTAGAGAAATATTTCAATACCACAAACCAAGTACACTGCAAATACTTTTCTATCATAACAATGATAACATGTTCATTTACTAATTCTAATATTAGTGCTTAGAAGAATTTTTGAAAGATATCCACTTACATATTTTCTATAATATCTTGGGTCCCTAATATCCAATGATCCAAGATATTATTATTACTAATTTTGTGATCAGGCATGTCTAACCTTGACAAGACACAAATCCAAATAGAAAAAGCTTAGAATGTTAAAAGAAAATAAAGTTTTTGCCTTTACAAGACACAAAACTCAAATAGGAAAAGCTTAAAATATTAAAAGAAAATAAAGTTTCTGCTTTTACAAAACACAAAATTCAAACAAAAAAAGCTTAGAAATTAAAAGAAAATAAAAGTTTTCACTTTTCTATGTATATACATTAAGAAAGTCTTTTCTATTGAGAATAAGGCCAAAATTAGCTATTTACTATCTACAACACTATTTAACTCAAGTAAGTACTAAGTCAACAATAAGATAAGACTAAAACTCTAAAGAAGAAGGCTTCGAATAAAGGTGTGAAAAAACTTGGTCTAAGTTTTCAAAGCTTGGGTTTTATTATAAAGCTGCCAGGGTTCAAATAAGCTTTTCTTCCTTCTTATACTGATAGTTAGTCTTGGTTAAGTCTGGGATATTGGTTACTAACACTTTTATATTATCTTTTTCAGATATACTGCTTATTTTGTAATCATATATGATAACTTTTCAATGACTGCAATGATTGGTGTATTAAAGTTTGCAACAATTATCATGTTTTATATTACAAGAAATAATGATAATTGATAGATAGTTAGAAAAGCAATAGATTTCAAAATTTATTAGTATTCATATACAAGAGTAGACAATATAAGTCAGGTTCTTTTACTTTATTATAGTCAATAAAGTTTAATAGCAAGATTAAGCAACAACAGCTTATTTGGACTAACTGCAATATTAAAAAAAAATACTACTAGGTCCAATGCTTCTACTCTAATTTCGAAGACAAGACTCTACTAAGTTCTTTGGCTTTTTACTTAATTAAACTTTAACTGAGTTAGTTCTTTATTTATATGAAAAGGTAGATCTTTTATACTTTTTCTTAATTAGTATACATGCCACTATACTAATTATTTTACATTATTATCATATCAATGTGAAACTATATACATAAATGCATATATGATATTGCAATATACAAAAACTGAAATGTGTACATTGGCAAAATAGTAGATCACTATGTACAAAAACTAAAATGTGTACATAGCTTGCTATATACAAAAACTGGTAAGTGTATATTGTATCTGTAGTAATTTTCTTTTACTATTTTAGAGTTATACTAACTAGTTGAATTTCTCCACTTATAGCTAATTTGAAATACAGGTAATAATAATAATAATAAACTAAATAGACAAGTAGAATAAATAAATAAAGATTATAATAAAAAAAATAAAGAAATGGAACAGAAATTTAATATAACCTTTAGTTTGTTACAATTCTCTCATCTTTATATTCGAGTTCTATTTGAAATTTATTGCAATAGTAATTGGTACTTTTCTGTAGACAGTTGATAAATCTTTGTAAGGGTAGTTTAATTGGTGCAGTAGAACTGCTTCATGCTATATGGCTCAAAAAGTCAGTAAGTATGTAGGGCCAAATCTAGATAGTGGTAAGAAATAACTTTTCAGATTTTTGTAATATTTTTGTTTATTAAAATATTAAGCAGAGCAGCTAAATAGAAAGCATGCACTAGGCTTTCAATTTTATCATCTCGATTAACAGCTTTGATTATTTGTTTATAGATGATAATTGCCTATTTTACAATACTTGGCTTTCTAGTAAAAGAACAAAGGGTAAGTTCAACTGGCATAGTATTAAGGATATTTTGGTCTATGTAAATCTGAATTTCTGCAGTACTGTTCATTTCTCTCTAATTTTCTCAATTTTGTTGTCTTTACTATCTTTAGAAGATAAATTTTTTTCTTTTTATATTTTTCGCTCATTGTACAATTTAATATTTTCTTATTAGCAGGTGTTGCAAGAACTTTTCTACTCATTTTATATAGTTTGTATATGCTATTTATAAGGATAGTGTGTATGTAGTATGGTCTTTTCTATTTTGGTTTGAGTTTGTGACTTTGTGTATACAATATTCTGGCATTCTAAATGAGAACCTTATCTTCTATGACAAAATTGGAGTGGCTATGATCTGCCAATTATGTCACTCTTTCTGTTTTATCTGGATTTTCTGTATTTGCCTTAATGCTTGTTCATAGGAGTCTTGCAGATCATGATCAATTTCATACATTCATTGAATGATAGTTCCATTGAGCAATTCATAGAACTCACTAGAATGTGTAAATAATTTGGCTGTTCTTCTGTATATCAAGTAAAAAGGTGTTTCATAAATAGAGGCTTGTTTTGCTATCTAATATTTAAACAATATTAGAGAAATCAATAAGTTCCAGTCTGTTGCATTTGTTACTAATTATGAAATTGCATTGCATAGAGTCTTATTAAAATGTTCAACAAGTCCATTAGTCTGAGAGTGATGCAGTACAGAATAATAAGCTTAACTTTTAAAACTGTTAGTAACTCATTGATTAAGTGATTTCAAAAATGCAATCCATGATTAGATAGTATAATATTTAACATCTGTGTCTGTATACTCTTTCTTTGTAAATGAACTTTGCCATCTTTTTAGAATTGTTTCATGGAATGGCATATGCTTTAGGCCATTTGGTCATATAGTCAGTTGTGACTACAATATATTTATTTAATTAGAAAGTTACAAGTAGTGGACTGACTATATTTATACTAATTCTATAAAATAGCACTACTGCAGGTATGGATGTAATAGTTTTTTTAACTTTTGCCTGCTTTGTTTTTGGCAACTAATACATGTTTTGATATATTCACATATATTATAATATATTTGAAGCTAGTAGTAATGATTACGCAACTTGTTAAACATTATTTCTGTTTCAAAATACCCATCAGTTGGGTGGTTATAAACTAAGACTAATATTGGTTCAATCTTACCTTCTTTTATTACTTTTAATAAATTATTTTTTTAGGTTTAATTTTTTTTATAAAGTAATCCTTTCTTTTTAATAAAGAAGTTGCTTTGGATTTCTAACTTTTGGTGTTCATTTTTATTGTAATAAAATGGATATTGTTTATGTAAATAAAATTTTTTAATGCTATATATAATTGTTAATTCATTTTTTTTGCTAGCTAATAGAGTTAATATTTGTTCTATTTAACCCTAGTTATCTTTTGTATAGTATCAGAATATCAACAATCTGGACTGTATTGATTTTAACATTAGGTTTGAATATTCAAATGTGGTTTTTTTTTTTTTTATATATATATACTATTATAAGCATTCCAATCAATAAAACTATCTGAGGTTTGGGCCTATTCTGAGTATTCCAGATTAGTTGCAGTAGGGAATATATCTTTATCTATATTGGCATCCTAGTAATGCAAATTGTATTCTAAATCACTTTGATAATGGCCATAACTTGTATTTTGATATTTATTATAACTACTTTCTTCAAATTTAAGCCTTTTAGCTAGTTCTTTCTATTGAAGAATATCAGTTAGATGAGTCTCATCTAAATCTATAAGTTGTGGTCTGTTTTTAAGACTATTGTTAATTATAAGCACATTTTGATACTCATTTACAATTGACCAGGTAATTTCGATTCTAGCTCCTATAGCAAATTTAATGAAGAAGTCTTGAAGATATCTTTTGTGCTCTACTTCAATATTAGTGAGTCCTTTATTCCATTCTTGGTAGAAATAGTCAGTATTACTGGCTATGTTATTGTCTTCTCCCCTTTTATCATTTTTTTATGTATTATTTCTATTTCTCTATCAGACTTTTTGAAAAAATACTCTTAGATAATAGCTCTGACGATTTCTATCCTTCTGCTAATCAATTGTTAGAACTTTTAAACACTTCTGACTAAGTTGATCAAGATATTTTTTTATAGTATTTTTTATATCTGCTGTTTTTTGATATTGGCTAATTACAAAACTTATATTTATAATTCTTTTTGCAGATCACTTATACCAAATTTTTGCTAAAATTATTTAATTATTTCTAATTATTTTATTAAGTCAACCTTACTTTTGCTCTTAAGTAGACTTGTTTAGAACACTTTTCTGCTTCTAGGCGCTAAGTTTCAAGTTTCAATAACATTAGGCTGCTTAAAAAAGTTACAAAAACCAAAATTTTGATTTTTTTCATATTCTTAAAATTTTACTAATTAAATATACTTTTCATCTTAGAAATAATTTGTTTAGCTAACTAAAATGAACAATTTGATATATATTTTATCAAAAACAGATTAAAACTCATTGAGATATCATCAAAAAGGCAAAACCAAAACCTGTCTTTACAGGATTTTTCAAAGGCAATTTTAGGAAAACTTGTTGGATTGCCCTAGAAATTTCACTTTTCTGGCATCCATTAAAATTTCCTAAATATTCAATTATCTTTTTCAATAGTTTTACATTTTTCAAATCTTTTCTAAACAGTCTAGAAACTCTTAAATCTAACAAATTCTTCTAAAAAACTTAGTTTTACAAATATTTTACCAAATTTTAATATTACAAAATTATTTAGTACATATAGTTACACACAATGCCTATCTTGGTAACAGTCACACCTGATACTATCGACCTCATCTACTTCTATTAAAAATGTTCTAAAAGCTTTGGTATTAGAATTCATAAAGATAATATAAATACATCACATCCTATTTCTGTATAACAACTGAACTCAGAAGTGCTATTAAAACTGGTCACTTTTTTAAGGCACTAACAACAAGTTCTATTGTTAGTTGTTTTTGTAAAAAATTTCATACACACTTTATTTTAGCAACAAGCCAAACATACAATGAACATAAAGCAATTAATGTAATTAACAAAACTAAAGATAAAAAATCTTTTCTACACAACATTATAAACTCTACTAAATTCATTTTACCATCACCTAGCTCATTTCTTTCACCTATTATACACCAACATACATGTGCTGTATGCAACCTACCTATTAACTGTAAAGTAACTAACAACTAACACTACTTAGCAGCTAACTTTATTCTATTTAACAATAAATCTCAACATAAATCATATACTCAATCTCAATTTAATAATCAACAAAGTACTTCTACATTTCAACAAAGCACTTCAACATTTCAACAAAGTTTATATACTACTCTTATTTAAAAAATTCAATAATCATTCTCTAATATAGAAACCTATTTTCATTCCAACTTAATCTCTTAACCTTAACAGAAAAAAATACAAACAACACTAATGATAACATGAATATTAATAACACTTTATCCAGCAATCAAAATTAACAACAACAACTGCAACAACAAAACAATCAATACAACAACAACAATAACAAAAATAACTTAAACAAACTCAGTCAGAAGAACAACAATAACAAAAACAATCCTTAAATAAACAACAACCCAATATTTTTAATAATCAAAATAACATTAAAACTAATCTAGCATTCAACTAACTTACCAACTTTTTTATCTCTAAAATAATGAAATCTAAAACCCAACTTGAAACAGATTTCTCTAAAAAAATATTCAATCTTCTTAAATAACACTTACATAACTTCTATTTTGGCAAGAAAATTAAACCCAAAACTGACAATCATAAAGCACTTTAATTTAGCTTTTACTATATTATTCATATAATAGCAGAAAGTAAACCTGAATTTCTTGTTAAATTTATTCAACAAAATAATCCCAAAACTAACAAAACTATTATTATTTCTTTTAACATTCTTGAAGATACTCTCAAAAAACTAATTCTAACTTTTACAACAATTCTCTTTACAAAGCTTAACTATTCAAAAATCTTTGTCTCATCTGCAACTATTCTATCTTACACAAACTAAAACAGATTACAACTTTGTATTAATCTCATACATATTCATCTATACCTCTCAAATAATTATCAGTTAATTGATTATATTAAATTTGCTGAAGACTTCATACTTCAACCTAAAAGATTTACAATCTCATTAAAAGTAACTAATATTGATCAAGATAAGCAATATCTTACAATTAAATCAGATAGCAAATTTAATATTTATCTCAAATTTAATATTCCCAAAACACTCTTTCTACAAAAATTAAATATACTATCTCTTAAAAATTCATTAGACTATTTTAAACAATGGTTTAAACAATTCTTTCCTTTATATAACTAACAATTTACTAAGCCTCTTAATGAAACTAAGATTTTTAATTCTTTTAAATTTCAACAATTTATCTTACATCTCAAAAAAGCATACCTATTAATTTACAATTTAAAAAATCTAACAACTTACAAGAATGTTGTAATTATACAATCAAACAAGTTAACTATCATATACTTACTTGTACAAATGCAACTTGCTCTTATTTAGAAAAAGTTGAATTCAAAAACAAAGAAAAACAAACAGAAATTCAAACTCCTTCCCAAAAGCTACAATATCAGCACAATTCTTCCAAGCTCTTAAATGGTATCTTCTAAAAATCTTTTATTAATTTTCTAAAACAAAAAAAATGAAATTTGGAAACAATCTGATATTAGTTCTTTTATATTTCATAAATAGTAAACATGAAGCAACCTTTAACAAAGAGATTCCAACTTCTCTTCTTGACTAACTTGTAACTGAAGCTGAAAATTCTGCTTGCAAAATTAATAATGTTCAAACCAATCCTAAACATCACAATTACTATTTTTATTTATATTTTAATTTTATCAAAATACTGTAGCACAAAACTATAATATTGACAAACTCAACAAACAACAAGCAATTGACCTTCTTATCTCTAAGCCTATCAGTACTGACTTTCTTGCAAGAGTTTTAACATTTTATAATTCCCAAAATAAATCTTTTACTTATCCCTAACCAACAAATTTTATAAAGAAACAACTTATTCAGAAGCAGATAAACTGTTACAAGATAAATTCAAAATGATATATGCAACACCAACTTTAATTGAAGAGACTCTTTTCTTTAAAGAAACTTCTTTCAGTAAACTTGTTTTTTACAAAACTTATAGAAGCAGCTGCCATCTTATCAAAAGAAACATTCATAGTAGTTGATAAGAAAAATAATATAAGTGGGCAGACAGTAAAGCCTATTTATGTGAAAGGCCAGAATAATGATGATTAGACCCAATGTACAGGGCAGGCTATGGTACTTTGTACAGCTGTAAGAGCCAAGCATACAGTGATTGACTCTGTAAAAGACAACTTTAAAAAATCATTTTCAACATCTTTAGCTTTCTATGATCTTGACATATGTTTTAACAAATTTCTTCTTTATTATAATATACCTTTTCTTTCTCACAATCAAACCATTCAAATACTTATACAGCATATTGATAAACACATTCATAACCAGAAAGTTACTAGTATTAAATTCTTTGTTAATTCTATTTATTGTAAAACTTATATATACCTTCTTAACAACTTACTTCTTTCTAATCATATTATCATTCCTTCTTATCTTCTTCTTAAATTTTAAAATCTTCTTTTTAAACCATATTCTTCCAACTTTACTTCTAATATATTTGACTTATTTCTTAACAATACTTCATCTCTACATTTACTAACAACCAGGCCACAAATCTTAATACCAACCCAAAACTTACATAACCTACATCTAAATATTACTATACACAATGTTTAAGTTTTTAATACAATAACTAAAAAGGAAGCTTGGCAAAACTACTGTCTCTACAACAACATCAATATAGCATGTATTACTGAAACAAAAATTGCTAACAAAACTAATCTTTAGTTTTGCAATAATAATCTTTTTATCTATTTCTGGACCAACTCTAAAAACTTAGCAGAATGCATTGCTATTATAATTCATAAGTAACTTAAACCTTATATACATAATTGTTAAACACATCCAGATAGTGCTATTGTTTTAGACTTTTTCTTCAAAAGTAATATTAAACTTCGCATTATTGCAGTTTACTTTTCTTTCACTGATATGCAGAAAAAGAACAAAACACAAAACACAGTAATTACATAAATTCAACAAGCCTATCAACTAAATTTATATTTAATTGTTCTTGAAGACTTTAACATATATAATAACATTTGTAGCTTCTCATCCAAATTTCAACTTATTAACTATCTATATCAATCTAACATATACAATCTTGAAGCATATGTAAACAACAAATACTATATATGGTCAAACAATACTAGTCAAAGCCATATTGACTACATTTGAACTGACTTATTCATATACAGTTCTTTCTTTTATATAGACTTGATGATAGTAATACTTCTATATTAAGTGATCATTCTATTTTTCTTTTCTCTTGGACTTTTACTAATGCATATAGTAAACTACTACACTATTATACTAGTATTAGTCATAGAATCTTTAACTACAAAGATATGTTATCAGAAAGTTAAACAGAATTTTCTAACCTTCTTTTTTCTAATCTTAAAATGCACAACACTCTATTTGACTATAATACAAATAAGAGTATCAAAATCACCTAACACAAAATTGAACACTTAGTTATTAATACTGCAATACATTCTATTTCTGACAAAAAATCACACAAATGTAGCTATAATTACCAATATTCTTCTCACAGCACCTCACTTCATTTATCATTTAAAGAACTTGGTCACTTAAACAAAATCTTAAAAAATTCTAATAACAATCTTAACATTAATCAGATTAATTTAAGAATTCAAAATATTAATTCAAGATCTCAGTACAATATTTATACCCTTTTCTTTCATTAATATTTACAACTTAACCAATGGATTTAACATGCA